TTTTTTTTTTTAAGATTTTATTTATTTATTTATTTATTTTGGGGGCAGGGAGCAAAGTGGGAGAGACTGAGCGGGAGGGAGAGGGACAAGCAGACGGTGCACTGAGCATGGAGCCGATGCAGGGCTTGATCTCGTGACGCTGAGATCATGATCTGAGCTGAAACTAAGACGATTAACCGACTGAGCCACCCAGGTGCCCCTACCCTTCTCTATTCTTAAAACATAGCCATTCTTGTTCAGGTGGCAAAGTGTCATGTTTAGCTTCTCCTAAGTCCTGAAGTTCATTTTAATGTACTTTTATCTGCATAAGCATTTCTCAATGAGATAAGTAGGGGCATATATTTGTGATATGGCTTCTCCCACAGTGGCTTGGGAAGCCCTTTCTATAAGTCCTTGACTTGCGCAAAGTCCAAGATGAAGGTAACATGGTACTAGAGATTCTGATTTATTTCTATTAAAACACCTTCTTGCATGACTTTCTTGGTCTAAATCAAGATGCTTTGAAATTCAGATCTTATTAATTAGAATGGCTATGTTACCAACTTTAGATACCTAATATTATGTTTTATGTTATATGTTATAATTATATTTTCCTAAAATGAAAAAAAAATGTAGTTCACATTTTTATAGCACACAGTTATTGATACTTATATTTGACTGATAATATATATTTTAAAAACAAACCAACAACCTAAAATTGTCTTTAGACAGGTATCTTCAAAAAAAGTCTGTCTCTCCATTTAAAGAAACCCAAACTCGAACACAAGCAAACGAGCCAATAGATACTCTAAAACCGAAACAAACGGAAACAACAAACACCATGGAAGTTGTTTTTTTTTTTTTTTTTTTTGTGGGGCCCCAATTACTTGAGGCAGCGTTGGCAGTGGTGTATTGTTCAATTCCCTGGTTAAAACAGGGTAAACTATTCTGCTGTGGCCAGCCCGAACCAGAGAGAGGGCCTTTATATATGCAGGGATTTGCTGTACTTTGGGATTACCAACCTATTCAACCATAGCTTCTCCTTTTGAGATGCGTTGATCAGTAAAAAGACACCTGGACACTTTTTAATTCCATCAGATTCAAAGAGAAAGCTTAGACGGTCATAAGTTTGGCTTAGAAGGTCATAAGTTTGTGGATTTTGCATCTTGGTTATTACAAAAGTAATGACCGAGGCAAGGAAAGCTTCTGACATCATGTGGGAAACATGCATCCTCCCCTGAAGATTACCTATCCACCTGTCCTCCACCTGAGCCAGGACAGGATATCAGGTATTTGGAAAGCTTTAAATCAGATCATTCTTTTCTGTTGCTACCCAAGCTACTCCCAGCTAAGGACTTCCACCTCTAGGACCATCTTGCCCAGAAAATTCTCCCCTGAGAGAAAAAAAAAAAACACCTCACAAGCTACTTAAAAATCTTTTATCAGTCATTCTGATTTTTAAAATTGCGATAAAACACACACTCAAGTTAGGAAAGTGCTTTTTGCTGTCATGAAACACAAAGACAAGTTCAATGTTTAGATTCGACTCTACAGTAGAATACATTCTGGCCCACTTTTGATCCTAGGAGAAATTTAGCTATTTAAAATGGTAGAAAGTAGGGGCTTAAGTGATAAATATTTACGGATGAGACCACCCACAATATTATTACTTAAACTTTCCCCACAATTAGCTTAAATAAGATTTTTTATCAAATGCCTGGCCTGTTAAAATGGTTTAGAATTTAACATAAAACAGAAGAATGCTAATCCTTAATTCAGAGTATAACAAATTATCCAACATTGAGGTTAAATACCTGACATTATATTTATGTAAATTCACCTTAATCTTCTAAAATGGCAAGTCCAGCGATAGTTGTCCATTTTCCTACAGCCATGTCAGTTGCAATTTCAGTAGATGAAAATAGAATTTACTACAACACTCCTTTTTGTTCTTTTCCTCATTTTTCTGATCTCCTATGCAGCATTCCTTGTCATAAGAATATGTATACATATTTATGCTTTACAGTAATGGATGTTGTATCTGAAATATTAGTTATCCAAAACAAAATTAAATGCCAATTCCAACCCAGAATGTCCTTGCATTTGTTGTATTGCATTTGCAAAAGAGTCAGGAAAGAGCCCTGGTTGACAGAGTTAAGTTCCTTGGCCAAAAAACGTGTTTGTTTGTTTTTTTCCAATTTCACACAGTTAATTAAGTAACCAATATTGACTGCAAATTGGCTTGATTTTTTTTAATATGAAAAATTGAAGATCCCATACAAACCAAATTCATGTCATATTTTCTTTAGTATTTCATATTTTCTAAGTAGCCATAGCATTTGTATATAGAAGGTGCGACCAGGTCTTTTGAAGAGAACTGGGATTTGGAAATGCAGATGGGAAAAAAAGGATGAGGGGTATCAATTAGAATCTGGTATGCTATGTACTACTTACCTTCAAAAGTCAAATAAAACTTTCCTCTGTCAAACCAAACGAGGGAAGGCTGTTCATTCTCTGTATGGCCAGGAGTTGAAGCGGGATGGGAAAGGTTAAGGAGAGGGAGAGAGAAGGACACAGTATGAGTTACAGGTCATTAATCTCACTATGGGGGAGGGCGGAGGCACTGCATGCCATTAGCGTGCAGGAAAAAGGGAAGGCTGGTAATCTATGTTTTGGTTTTGGTTTTTAGTTTGGGAAACAGAAAGCAAAAGCAAAGCTATGGAGGCCTAAAGGGATGGGCACGTGTTGTTGGTAGCTTGATACTCGGTGCTTGAGCGCATGGAGCGGAAGTCTTCCTGGCCATGCAGGGGCGTCAGCATATTTTAACTGCACTAGTTAGGGCAAATGGTCATTTAGCAATTGCTGTATCCATTTCATCTTCAATGTCATCCCCTTCTATATTTTCGAAAAGATAAACTCGGAGTTACGGGTTATATCAAACTTAGCTTAGGTTTTAAATGACAACAGCATTGCATATCAATTTAAAGTTCATGGAAGATGTCGCACATCTTCCGTCCCCTCCCCTGGAATCACCTTAGGCATCCAGACACAAAACACCCTTTACCTACGTACCAAAGAGAAAACAAGATTACTGACGGTGTCCTATTATATTTTAAATCCAAAAGCAGTCACCGGACATGTAATTCTGAGCAGTTAAATTATTCCTTCCTTTGTAAATTCACAAAGCAATGGCATCTCACCTTTTTCAAACCTTTTGAGAAACTGTCATGCAACCTGCTGCTTTTTAACAGGTTCACTTAAAAAAAAATTTGGTGGCATGAATTCCACGATGAACAATAAATAGACAGGGTGCTTCTGAGAGGCACCAGACACTCATGAGGTGAATAGCATGTCCATGAAGTTTATAGCATTCAGATGGCATAATGGCTTGGATTTTTAAAGTCTAGATATCTAGGGATCACTGGGCTAGCACCATACCTGCCAGGGTATCACAGCACCTTTCAAACGAGGGCAGTTTGTCATAAAAAACATCATCTTCTGACACTACGAACCAAAGAAATATAAAAGAATGGAAAACAAAAACACAAACACAAATCCCAAATGAAATCAAGCAGTACACTTCACTGATTGAAACACAGGAATGATATTAATGGAAAAAGGAAACAAAACCTAACACAGTGGGATAATGATGATAGGGTACAAAAAAAGTAATGTGCTTATTTTATGATGGTTCTATGAGAAAAAAATTAAAAAATTAAAAATAAAAATTTTAAAATGCCAGGTTTTAGTAATCTGTGAATTTGGCTAAAGTCAGCTCCATGGAAGAAATCACGCCCCCACCTTTTCAAGGAGTTGTTAAAGGCACTGTCATTAGTAATTGACTTGTGTAAGTGTATTTCACTCAGACACAGTTCTCAAGTGGCCAGACATATGTCCATCAGTAGAACCTCTTGGTACACAGGATCACTCATAATATACCTTCTCCCTGCCCCAGTGGGCAAGAGTAAGCTTTCAACAAGACCATAAAAAAGCAACAGAATAAATCTGAGGTCGCTGAATGAAGTATCCCATTTCAAACTCATCAGTATCCAAATTCAGTTTGCCTTGCACCCGTCTTTAGTAGTTATGACCCGTTAATTTTGGACATTACTGTAATTCCATCTTTGTCTATGGTATCCAGCTATGGCCAAATGTCTTTGTAAATTGATCACAACAGTTGCTCTGGACCCCAACCGTTCCAGATCTTTGCACGTGATCTCCTTTCTCACCAACTAACAAATACAGGTAATTGGAGTTCTATTCTATGTGATCAAAAAAAAAAAAAGTGCTTGATTCCATAGGTCTTAAGAGTATTATTACAACTTAAATTAAAAATGGAATAAAATCTGTACAAAGACCCATAAGGGAGAATCCTCTCTATAATGTAGAGAAGATAAGGAAATTGATGATAGTAGTAAAATTACTCTGTAAATAATGTTTCTTGGAAAAAATATTCTACTGTCTTGCCTCCTAGACTTAGGAAGTAAAGCAGGAAGAGTTCTTCTGTGTCAACTTTTAAGGTTCTAGGATAGCACTTGTCAGTCAGTATTTATTATATAAGTGACTTCCTTGGTGGCTAGAACAAGTTAATGCAATGTCTATAATATCTATAGGAGAGGAATAGGACATGGCACTGAGAAGAACACTCCATAATCTGTTCAGAAAATGGGAAGCAAAACAGTTACATTGGCAGTAACTGAATGTTACAATACCCTTTCATACCTGTTAGTGGGAAATGATGGAGGATATTTTCTTTCCTTTGAAGAACTAACTTCGTATTTACAATTTCCTTAAAATGAGGAGCCTCCATCATGATGAGCACTGAGTAATGTATAGAATTGTTGATCACTATAGTGTACACCTGAAACTAATATAACACTGTATGTTAACTATACTGGGATTAAAATTTAAAAAAAAAATTTTAAAAAAAAGAATAGAAGGCAAGAATTCACATACCCCCCCCCCCCAAAAAAAGGGTCTCCAATACTGCCATTTGTTTTTTGAATTGGAGTTACAAAAGAGTAATTCATAGGGCTAAATAACATGTTCATAATTTTTTTATGGTGGTTGTGGACATTGAGGGCTTTGAAGAAAACAACATAACTAAACTGGGGAACTTAAAAGATGAATTATTGGATAGCTCTGTGCTTGCTTTAAATAAGGGCAACACTCAAATTAAGTACAGAAGAAAAAATTTCCTTAGGAAATAACCATGGAAATTGTCTCAAATTGATCTGGGATGGGGAAGCCAGAACTAGAGACAGGCCTTTCCAAAAAAAAAAAAAAAATAGTAGAAAGATAAAAAAAGACTAAACTTAAGTATGGGAATTTTTAGTTGAGATCAAGAATATCCATCCTCGAAGGTCTTTCTGTGCCAAGTAATTGGCATTAATACAAGTATTTTTAAAAGAATGTTTATCCAATTCAGAATTGCCACCCAGCCAGGAGAGACAAAGACTTAGAGAAAAATGCTGTAAGATTTAGATGCTACGGCTAATATTCCAGCACTGAATCACTTTTGCTCAGAGTTCTACACCAAAGGAAACATCAAAATCCACCTACTGCTTCCTTTGGTGCCTGTAAATGGTTACTTTTCATTCATTCAGATTTCTGAGATGATGTTAAAGATGCAGTTGAAATTGCATAATTAACAGTGAAGGAATATAATTAACAATATATTTAATAATATATTTTTTTTCATTTAACGATGAAAAAATTGTCTTTATGGTATTCTTACTGCATTGGGGTACCAAAAAAAGATTTTGCAAACATCTAAAAAAAACAAAAAACCAAAACCCCGACTCTCACTCATAGAAATAAGAAAGAAAGTAAGAAAAATGGATATTTAAATTACAGGTATCTCTGTTTATCTTTAAATGTCTAAGAGTTTGTTTCTTAGAATAATTTTAAACATTTTCTCTATTCCCATAATATTAATAGGATTTTTCCCCCAAATCAAATAGTGAAGGTCCTATGAGTGTTTCTAATGCAAAAGGGGTATACTATATTTCACTGATTCTGCTTTGTGCACTTTTTCACATTTTAACATCTCTGAAATTGGAATGGGTCTTAAAATTAATGGATAAGAAAGCATTGCATCTTAGCTTACTTGGCAGTTTTCCCCTCCTTTTCTTAGTCATATATAAAATAATAGTGTATCTTCTGATGGAAGGTGTCTTAAATTCGGTGATACACAGTTGCAGAGGGGTTCTTCATTATTTGAGTGTGGTGATGCACAGAAAGTCCTATTTTCAGGTGTGGCATCAGACTTACTACTTTATAATCACAGCTTTCATGAAAGATTTTATGTCCAAAGTGTTTTGGGGGCATATTCTTACAGGAATTGTTGCATAGGAAGATTAGACTTGCTCTTACAAGTTGAGTCCTTGAATTACGTTCAACTTTGCAATAAGCAAGTACAAATAAATATGTACAAAGTTTCCACCACACTTGCCCCAGTTTTGGCTCTGATGTCATAGGAAATGTCAAAAAAGTATTGTGTGATAGAAGGGAAATGTTGAGCCACTGATCTCAAAAATTTGCTGCTGAAATTCTCTATCCCCCACAAGTTATTTTTCTGCATAAAGTTGACATTCCAAGTCAGTCATGAATAGTCAGCCCCTTGGTGCTGAACAGCCAAAGCACATCCTCTCCAAAAAGAGATAAACAGCAATACACAGGAGCCGCTGGCAGCCATCTGACAAGGCATCTACTTCAGAGACAAGTGGCTGTCAGGTGGCCTACAGCAGCAGGAAGTAAAGAACAGGAGAATGAGGAAGAGGAATACCAAAAAATAAAAATAAAAACAAAAACAAAAAACAACAAAAAACCCCCCCAAAACCCAGAACCAAACAAATTAAATCAGAATGTTCCTCAGCAATGAAGCAATGTTGAGTATCCTCTCAGGTGGCTATTTTTTTTTTTTAACCCCTCTGTCATTCATCTTGAAAGAATGCATACTGGTTGTACTAAGAATCAAAGTCACTGGCCAGGATTTGAGATTTCTGTGGCAGGGAGTATAAAAACGCATTGTATAAAACATGGACATGGTTCAAATTCTCTGTGTGTGTCATTTTCTCTATGAATCTCAATGAGTTTAAAGAATATGTTAGTCACTCATCTGAGGGCAGTTGAGGTCTGCTTTGTGAGTGAGAGTTGATGCTTCTTACTTTCCTCTCAGACCAACCAGGAAAATCACATGGAGTAGGTGGGACAAATAATCTTGAGGAAAAAAAAAAAAACCAAAACAGAATCCCCCAGATAAAACAAAACCAAACAACAACAACAACAACAACAAAAAAACAGAGCAAGAGTGGGGGAAATGGCTGTAGCAATCAGGAATATTAAAGAGTGTCAAAAAAAAAAAAAAAAAGGTTGAGACACTACAGAAAAAACGAACAAAAAATTCCAGAGAGAACTGGCCTCATAGGCATCTTAAAAGAGAAAGCCCCCAATTACCTCAATGGATGATGCAGAGAAAGAACAGACGTGGCTATGTAAATGATGTTAAATATCTGTCTTTTAATGAATCCTACAAAATTGGACAGCTGGTTATATTTTCACCAAATTTGAAGGATTGTTTTGGGTTGGTCTGATTAAAAATACAGAACACATGATATAGTTGAAATTCTCTTTGGGGCCCCCTACAAGGCACACCTTCATTTATATCCCTGGGAAAATAGGGAGTTCTCCAGAAGAGCTTCAGGCTTTGATCAAAGTACTTCTCACATGGGCAACTCTGTAGCGTGCTCTTCTTTGGTAAATGATAGCAGGGATTTATTTAGCTTTGAGTTAATGATTCTCCCAAGCAATGCAGGATGGGCCAGCTGGTTTATAATATGGAAGACTTGGAGGGGAGTTCAGACAATAAAGGAAGACAATGGGAAAAAATGGAAGGGTGGAGCCCCAGGGCAGAGATACCATGCAAACATGAAAGAGGCAGCAGCTTATGGAAGATGGGTGAAGAGGTGTAGAGAGAGATCAGCCTTGGGAAGAGGAAAGATGCTCCAGGCAAAATGAGGCATTTAAACCTGGGAAAACCATCCAGCTGAGCAGCCATTCTCAACTCTTGACTTTCATCACACCATAAGGAAAGAGGCACAAAGGCATTTACTGAAAATGCCAGCAATGACTTATTTCTCAGGGAAAACTGACCACACATCACTGAAAAGCACTAGAAAAGAATGTCAAAAAGTTTACTCAACTCCCACAATGCCAACACTTACACCATCTGTCAACAGAAGGACAACCAAAAGTGATGAAGAAATGAAATCTTTAAGAAAATAAAAGATCAAAATTTCATGATTTCTGATGTGGTACACGATTGGAACTTAAATGAACATTCCTCCTCAAAGGAGACTATTTTTATGACAGAAATGATATGTAAATTACTGGACCTTATTTGTTGATTTCTTCTTTACTTTTATGAGTAGCTCTGTATGGAATAGCATAAGAGAATTCCTGCAAAATACAGGTGTTAATATTCTTTTATTTGTTTATTGCTTAGTTGAAGCATTTCGCCTCCTTTGCTGAGAAGGTGCTTTTAAAAGAAGAGTCAGCTGATAGTAGCAGAACACAGAGCAAAACAATTTCAACCAGAAGTATAGGGCCTTGAGGTTTTCAGATGATAAAAAATAGCCAGTCACAACAACAAACAGATTAAAAGACAGGAGATAATTTTTACCAACTGTGGGAGTGGTGGCTGCGCTCAAGGAATTGGTGGATGATATTGAAGAAGTACTTTCAGCTCGGGCAAGGGGTGCTATCGGAGGAGGGCTGGAAGAATGTATGGGAGGGCTAAAAGGTCTGGGCTGCAGGAAGAAGAAAAGAGAAGAAAATTAGATAGGCAGGTTGGAGTACTCTTGTTCCATGTTTTTGACATCTTCCAGCTCTGGATATGACAACTCAGGTTCTTAAAAGAGTATGGGTGACATTATTTTTATCTTGAAATTGATTCTATCTCTACAGGAGTTTGTGGATGGAGCTGGAGGAACCATAAATCACAGTGTGCAGGTACATCAGGCTTAGAGAAGCTGAGATCTGTGATGTTTCAGGACTGTGAACTTACATGCCCTCAGGGACTAAGCAGGTAACCTCCTGTGAGAGCTTATACCCATTTAAACATATTTAAATACAGTATACTCAACTGTGCTAGCTAAACCAAATATTATGGACATCACCCAGTTTGTGACTCCTGTGCGTGCATAGCAAAGAAATGGTCCTCTTCCAGAAGTCTTTTAATTGTTCACACAGAATGTTTGCCACCTCTTCAGCCTTAAAACACGATGCAAGAAACTTCTGGAACAAATTTATCAGGCTACCACCCTCCTCTATATTCACACGGTGTGCGTAACACCAGTAAGTTCTCCTAGTCTGGGGATAGAAACCAGGACTTACCCTCTCTTGGAGTCTTCCCAAGCCAGATAAATAGGATGAAAGAAAACACCTCTCTTTCTAAAGGACTTAGCACAATTGAGCATTACTACCTTAATTTGCATCAGACCCACGCTGGCAGAACTGAGAACCCCAGCCTCCTATTCCTATCATTTTAGACCTCGACTTGAAAGGTGGTGGAGATTGAGGGAGGGTCAAAATGTACACCCACGAGGCAGTGACTGCCTTTCAGATGCCACATGTCAGGGCCATTTGTACAACTGATCGGAGGCCATTGAGGCAGCCTGTGTTGCAGCATTTTGGCTTCTGTTTGTCATTCTCACCATGAGTCTCTGAGCAAGCCGGGGCAAAGGGGAACATACCACATCTCCAACTCCAGGTTTTCCTGGAGGTAGCTTTGGCCGAGATGGAGGCCGGGGAGGAGGCGGTGGAGGGGTGGTGCTGCTGCAGGGAACCAAGGGAGTGGCTGGTCGAGCAGGGGATGATGCACCTGAAAAACAAGCTGGTATTAACAATGACCGGAACCACACGTGGCCAAAAGCCGTCATCGTGGAATCCTCCTTCCCCATCCCCCCCAGGACAGCACCAGTCCCGGACAATTTTCTTCACCCCAGCAGTTAGTACACTCAACACTCTAGCATCTAGTGTGTATGTGTGTTTTTTTTTAATAAAGAAAAAAAATCACTCAGTTGAACTAGAGCTGATGGCAGAAGCTGAAGCTTATTGCCTTTTGTTGTCATGTGACACCCAGTGAAAGGTAAATCCTTTTATTATTCTCTGTGATGGAAAATATGCTTTAAGACACTTTTAGCCTGGTGGTGAGGACCTTTCATTTTGACCACATACACACCAAACTTATAATAAGTTCTCTTGTTTTTGCATAATCAGAATTTATGTCCAAGATGGAAATGGAAGTTAGACCTTGAAGGAAGGTGAATGATTTTTCCACATTATATATATACATACACATATATATATATTAAAAAAAAACATGTAGAAGAGAATTATCTTTTTTACTGTGCTTCAAAATATGAATGCTAACTTTAATAAATCTAAGTAAACATTTGATGGTAAGCAAAGGATGGAACCATAAGAAAGTAAATTAGATGTTGCACAAGTAATTTGCATTTAGAATCTTAATAATAGAATCACACTGAATTTAGAGGCTTGTATTTTTTGAAGGAGGCTGCTTAGTAATCTGTTCTATGTAGAGTTGGCCCATGATGATTTTGTGGTGATTTTGAAAAGAACCTCTTGGATTTACTTTTCTGGCTGTCAATGACAAACATGGGAAACACAGAAGACACACAGAGGTCGGCATGCACACTAATCAGCACACCAGTAGGGTCTTGAGACTCAGGGGTCGGTCTATCCTTAACCAGATGTCTGGGCTACATGGATAAACTACTTGACTCCAAACCTGAAGAAATTCAGATCAATATTCCAAACAGTACTTGTTCAGAAAAGTTCCAACTACTCCGGAGGTTTTGTCACTTTGGTTAGAAGCACAGGTATCAGATCATTTCAAAACATTCTAAGAAATCCCACCTCAGGAAAATAACCACCCACTCCTCTCCTGTCATCCAACATGCCACAAAACTGTGTTCTCTGGAGAAACCTAGATCAGCAAGATGCTAATCTCCATCTCCAGATCTCCAGATTCCCAAAGAGCTTTGAAGTTGAACAACAAAACCCATCATCTTGGAATCTGCTCTCAGCTTAGGAGAGTCCCTGGGGGTAAACCTTACTCCCCTTATTTAAATACAACCTGAAATACTGCGTGTGTTGTGTTTCTCTGTGCTGTTTATTCTAAGTGTAATTTCGTTAGTGTGAAACCCTACTAAAATTACCGCCACCTCCATCCCTATCCCTACTGCCTCTCCATCGCTACCACTTTTTTACTGTATTCTTACTTTTTATTTTATTGGACCAAGATCAATGCTAGGCACTTCACATGCATTATCTTATTTAATCCCCACACTAAGTTTGGCAGGAACGTACTGTAGTTATCTCAATCAGAACTAGAGCTCGGAGATATTGAGTAACTTGCTCAAGGTCCCATAGCTCAGATGGTTGATTTAACTCCAAAGCTCAAGCTCTTAAATGCAGTGTCTTGTAGCTTTAGATGGAATGTGAAGTCCCACATTTTGCATAAAGTCTGCTCTTACTTTTGCAACAGCAGCTCGCCAACATCTCTCTCAATGTAAATATTTTTAGTCTTTGGATAATCTTTTCTTGAATAAAAAAAGAAGATATGTTTTGACAGGTCCCACTACAAAGTTTCCTTTTGACTTAATAGATTGACACCCAGGATGTTTTCAGGAAACAGAAGTGACAGCAGAGAGATGGAAAATAAACCTTTAAACAACAAAGTCTTTGTCAGGAAGTTTCATGGGGCTCTTTCTAGGTTCTGTTTCACTGGAAAACCACACCATAGGGATGGTTCAAAATATCTATCCATGGGTCTATTTCCAAGAAATAGTCTTCTGAATCAAGCTCAGGAAAAGGTCAGCTGCTTATCTTTTTTCTATGTGTTCTAAGAGGGAAAGTTTTGAAAATCACTGTCAGTAATGCTTGGGAAAGTTAATATTGGGGTAGTCAGCAAGGCAGTATGGAATAAGGAAAAAAAACGAATGAAAAGGCAGATGATCTGAGTTCTGGCTCTGCCTGGCTCTTATTGGCTGTGGGATTTTAACCTCTCTGAACCAGAAGTGAAACATTTCTATCTTACAGGGTAGTTGTAACAATCGAAATGGAAAATGCTTATCAAGTGTTTAGTAAACTATAAAATGCTACACAAATAAAAGAGAATAGATGTTGATGATGATGGTAAAGACTGTCTTTTCATATAGACACAACTAAAAGCAAAGAAAAAAGTGGCTAGTTAACTGTTTTCTTTTCACTTTTTCCTAACTGGATTGATTTAATTGATTTGTTGTGCAGTTAGAAAGACACTGAGGCAGTGTTTAAGAAGCAAAACCCTCTTGACAGAACCTGAGGTTCAGCAGAGGGTAGTCAGGGCCTGAGGGGGATTTTATAAGTGAACTGAGGTTTCCCATGCTTTTTTGAGGTTGCACAATTGTTTCGTATTCTAAGAGTGTACAAGACTATTTGCACATCTCTATCCTCATTCTCTGATCTGGAATCATATTTTCATTTCTTCTACAAGCAGTGTTTATTCCCAAGAGCAGTGCTGGGGAAAAAAACTGGACATTTGCTGTTTCAGGTTTAACTTTAAAAATCACCTGTATGTTATTTGAGTTTTGTGAGTTCAAAAAAGTTGACAGCCATTGACATGCTTTCAATCCATTTGCTGCTTCAACTTGAAGTTCTAACATAATTTTTTCGGTAGCCCCTTGAAAGCCACATAATGATTGCTTCAACTTCCATCTCTCTTTGCTGGCTAGTGGCCTCCCTATTTGGACTCTGCCACTCTAAAAGACACGTAGTTAGGAAATATATTTGTTTAGGTCAACCCCAGTTGTTTATAAATGCGTGTGTGTGTGTGTGTGTATAACATCTTCTAATATTGCCTTAGTTTCTCAAGTTGGAAAGTGTTGCACTGAACATTCTATCTTTACTGACATCTCTCTTTCCCTGGTCTCTACAGGCCAATAAAACTCTTTCTCCCTCCCATTCCCTGGCACACCACCCACAAGGAAGAAGAAATGGCCTTTGCCAAGAGAATTGTCATCTGCATTCCAATAAAGCAAAGTTCTGGCCAAACTAGGTATTTATAACTTTGCCATAAGAAAATTGAAGTTCTTGGAGCAAATCCTGAATCCAATTGTTTTTCAACATCAGGTAACTCAACTGATTCACAAGGCTGCGTGTACTGTTTACGCTTGGTCAGTGATCAAGTGAATGAAATTTTAAAATTGAGCATAATGGTACCCAGTTAAATATAGTTTGAGATGTACAGGAAAATCTAGTCTCATCAGGCTGTTATAAAAAGGAGGTCTTGAGAAACATTGCTAATCTTTAAAACATGAGGCCATCTCTCATTGTTCTAATCATAAATTTGCATTTCTGCTAGTCTGTGTATATTCCATCAATAAAACATTAAATAGCAAATAAACTGGGACTTAATTAAGGAGATAATGTGCAAAGTTTTATTTATTCATGAGCTTCATTGACCCAGTTCAATCTTCCACTTAGAAATCAGATCTTTTACCAACAAAGTATAGTATTTTTCCAGCTCAATTATTAAGAATCAATAGTCTTTACTGGTAACACCTAAAAATAATTTTAAATAATTTACAAAGCTAAACATAGAGATGACAACAAAATTCTCAAAGATTTCAGGAAGAAAGCCAAGGCTCCCTTCTTCACTCATCAGATCAGTGGTCAATTCAATTAAACGTCTTCCCGAGTCTCGTGGAAAGTGATGGAAGAAACAGAGGAGCGACAAATCTGCCCTGTCTTCCCTTTCCTCAACTAAACATGTTCATTTTGAGGAAAGCACAGTGGCCCACTACTGGAACAAGGGGATTATTCCTCTAGAAGCCTTTTCAGAAGATGGGAGCTTCACTCTGGGAAGAGAGCACCATAGAAGACCCTGGAAGCACTCCCCCTCTTTGACAGTGGACAGGTTTGAAGTTTGAAATGAAGGCTTTAAGTAGGGTCCTTTTATTACCTTTACAGATATGTAAGGAGGCTTAGGTTCCCAAAATGATCTAAAAACGCAACAGAGGATGAAGGCGGGTGCTCTAACCCTCTAGAATTATGGAGAGGAGCATAGAGTGTGGGTTTTGAGAGAAAACTGTTGGTGATTCTGTTGATGACACAGGGCAGAATAGGTGGGTGTCAGTGGTCAAATAAGTTTGGGATATTTTGTAACTAAACTTTAAAAGAGTGCCAGGAGAGCCCCCGGGGTTAAGAGCACAGGCTTAGAATCAGACAGACCTGAGTATGACTGAGTATCCCAAGTCTATCACCTGTAGCTGTGTAAACTTGGGAAAATTACTTGACATCTCTGAGCTTCAGTTTTCCCAAGTGTACACAGCTGTAAAATAGGAGAAATAAGAGAGCATTTATCACATGGGGTTGTTTTAAGGATGAAATGATGTGCACAAAGGATTAAGATGATACCCAGGAGAAGAAACTATAGCTGTTATTATCGGCAAATTAAAGGCTGTCAGAGGTCCTATGGTAAAGAAACCTGCTGATTTTATTTTAACACAATGTTCCCCAAATTTATTTGCGTATTGAGTAGTTTTCCTTTTTTTTAAATTTTTTTTAAAGATTTTATTTATTTATTTGACAGAGAGAGACACAGAGAGAAAGGGAACACAAGCAGGGGGAGCGGGAGAGGGAGAAGCAGGCCTCCCGCTGAGCAGGGAGCCCGATGCGGGGCTCAACCCCAGGACCCTGGGATCATGACCTGAGCCAAAGGCAGACGCTTAACGACTGAGCCACCCAGGCGCCCCAGTAGTTTTCCTTTTTTGGTGGAGGAAGGCACCTAGGGCACACGCAATGATATAAAACATCAATTTTGTGTTGGGTACAGGTGACTCTCCAGCCCTCTCCTTGATCAGATTGGATGCTTGAAACACAGGAATTTTCAAACACAGAGCAAGCACTGAAATACTCCATTGAAAGAGGCAGCAATGATAAATGATTATTAGAGTGGAGACAAATGTCTTTCCTTCCTGTCTCTTACTAGATCTAAATAGCATAAACTTGGTCACCTCTTCCAAAGCAAATGAAAAACAAAAAACTCAGAAGGTGCCTAAACTGAACCCACAGGCACAGGAGGGAAGGCTCTTGCTGGGGGAGGGGGGGTTCTTGTCAGATCAATGTGAGCACCAGTAGAAGAAAAAATATGGAAGAAGAGACCTTAGAAAATCTTGATCTTTTTCGGTGTGCATGGCAGCTGTTGCCATCTTTTTATAGGATGAGAACACAAAATGAAGCTTCAAAGAAGGAAAACCAAAATGTTAGATTCAACACCAACATTTGCATAGAGGGTCCCAAATGTCCATTTCTGATAGACTTCTCCATCACCTGTCACCATGCTTCGAGTTGACTTCATAGGCTGATGAGCTTATCAAAATAAAATCAAAGAATAATTTGTCTTCAGTGGCAGTTTGATATATCGTGGACGTAGTAAGGTACATTCTATTTGCTGTCCCCTAAAAAATCTCCCTTTCAAACCTTACTTCTTTTTTTCTGAAATAATTAGAGGGGTTAACATAGCTCTCCCCCTACAGAAAAAGAAAGAAAGGAAAAAGAAAAAGAAGTCGAAGAAGAAAGAACACGTTGACCTACCTACCAAAATTAGGATCCTTGGGAAAAAAACAGTATAAACTTTCAGTTATAAGATGAATACAGTCTGAGGATCTAATGCATAACACGGGGACTATAGCACTGTATTGTGTAATTGATAACACCATATCGTATAATCGTAATTTGTTGAGAGAGTAGAGCTTAAATGTTCTCACCCTTCCCCCTACCCAACCCCCCCAAAGGTAAATATGTGATGTGCTAATTAACTCGATGGGAGGAATCCTTTTACTATATCTATATCTATGCCTATATCTATCTATACATCTCAAGTCATCACATTGTGCACTTTAAATATCTCATAATTTTGCCAATGATATCTCAATAAAGTTGAAAACAAAACAAACTAGAAAACGTTCCTGTACAGGCATCTGACAGGGAAATGAGACACTCAGCATGAAACTCACTGGCTATGAAATCTGCCTTTCTAGAACTTTCCTGAATTCCAAACAATGACAAAGCAGCTTCCTTTAAAAAATAGGCACTTCCTAACTGCAGGGTGGAAGGCAGGGCGCTCCTAAGGAGTGCTAGGAGTGCAGGGCAGGGCACATCACAGACTCGCACTATGACGGTTAGCATTCGATGCACTAGGACATGCCATGGGGCCACGGAACACCCAAACCAAAGGAGGGATGGCTGAAGCTCTAAAGCCAACTGCCAGGCAGGAGGAGGGTGTCGCTCACACTGCAGCAGCCACGGCCATTCCCGGGCACATGAAGCACACTCAGACAGTAAGACGTACCACTGGTGGTCCCCGTACCACTGCCCGAGCCAGGTCCAGGGGATGAAACCACAGTCCTGTAGGTGGGTGGTGGTGGGGGAGGTGGGGTTGCTCTCTGTCCCAGCCCAAAATCTTTGGGAGATGAGATTGTTTCTAAGTAATCATCTTTAATGAAGGTCTGCTCAGCGATTTTCTTCTGGACTTCTTCTAAATTGAGCGGCGACGGTACATTTCGAGGAGGACCAGAGGGTCCTGGGGGGCCTGGAGGGCCCGGGGGGCCCAGAGCTGGGGAGTCAGATGGGTTGTCTGATGCAGTTGGTGGGGACACCACCTTTTCCCTTGGAGTCAACTCTGGAGTAACATGTTCCGGGGACGTATCAGAAAAATGGACCCACTTTTCTTCAGCATTAACAGCAACAGACTTGGGGGATAACACTGGGCCAAAAATGCTGTCCAAGTCATTGATTGATGGTAGTTTTTCAATTTTGACCTCTGTGGCTGACTGGTCATTTCCTGTGGTTAAAGTAGTTGATTTATAACTTTAATTGACTTGGTGAATATTATTTGTATGGGGGGGCGGAAGGGGTGAGATAAAGAATAGTAAACAGATTGCCCTGTGAGGTGTAAAAATAACTGAATCAGAGCTAAAGGGGAAGAGAGCATTCCCTGCCTCCATAATGTGAGCATCATCTTCTTATGTTGTTATTTTGCCCTTTCTGCTGGGTGACCCCAGGTAGCTATTTTTACCACCATTGAAAGCACTGAGTGTGCTACTGTTCTCAAAGTCTGCTCACAAGAGTGCAAAGGGTGATCACTTCGAAAAGGCTGCACTTTGAAAAGGTTCACAGAGTTCAGGCTCTGGAACTGCAATCCCAAAAGGGAGGTCCCTTCTGAAAGTGTAGCCTAGAGACAGCACAGTAGAAAAATAATTGATAGCTGAAAATCACCCTCATATTTGATAAAGACTGCTCTAGCATATTAAAATGTTTGGTGAGACTAATAATGTCTTTTTGTTTAAAAAATTATTATATCATAATTAGCTGTACATCCTCCACCTTAAATACTCCAGAAACACAGTACAAAGGTTATTTAAAGAAATATCCCCACACGTATATTTACAAACATACACATATACATCCCACATACAACACACACAGGTTATTGAGAAGACATCTACTACTTATCAGAACTGTTTTGTATATACTTGTTTAATAGGGAGGAAAACTGTCAAAACATCTTTATAATTTCTTTTCCCATCAAGTCTAACCTGTTAACATCGTAGGTGTGACTGTGATATACATCTATCTGGAGTCATGAAACGGAAAATCTCGCTTTTGCTTCAACATTAGCATCAGCTCTTCTCTTTAATTCTTATCAGTAATAAGAGAAAAAAATTTAAAACTATCTTCTACAGCTTGGCAGGAAATGCTTGAAAACAACTGCAATGTGAGGAAGTGCACTTTTTAAACACTGAGGTTATTGAAATTAGAAGCTGTTCCCTGAATGATTGCAAAGCATAAGCAGAAGCAACTTTACCTTTAAATAACTCAGCAGCTCTAAGAACTGGCTCAGTACTTCCATATTTCACATTAGAAAAGAATTAACCTTCAAGGCTCCAAGGCTACAGATAAATGGGGTAGCAGTTTGCATGTCCCACACTATTTATAATTTTGTTGCTGGTAGATTTATTTATACCTGACATATTTATGGGAATACAAGGAGCCAAAATGGTTTGAACTTGCAAACACCTTTACCTATGATGCTCTGGATGATTCTTCGATGGGTTTTAATCAATATAAATTTCAAAAATGACTATGCCTTGCACTCGGTCTTGTTGATAAATACCTACTCTGTAGCTATCAAACTCACCAGGCTGCAAAAATAGCAAAGGACAAAGCAGCAATAGAATTCCAAAGGGGATAAAGAACCATATTCTAAGGGCCCAGACACATAACATAGCAATTACTGCTTTTGACTTGCTGGCCCAATAGGACAAGGTAGATTATAAAGTGCATGAATATGTAATACTGATTTTAATAGGAGGTAAAGATGTGCCTTAGAAATGATCTGTCTAAAGGCATGTGGCAATTCTTTGCCATATTTCATTATCCTTACACATCTCTTTACTGTGGGATAATAATGATTCCTGGGAAAAAAATTCCCCACCTCCTAAGCTTACCCATAGGCTGCACATCCTGGGAACCATTCTACGTCTTTATAGATCAGACAGTTTTAATTCTAGAAAAATAATGATCTGTTCTTGGGAAAATACGAATTGTGCCCTGAGATTTTTTTAATTCGTAAATCATTAACATAAGATCCAACGGAGTGAAAGCCCAATTAGACAAAGACTTTTGATATTGAGATTTTCTTTTTCTTTCATCTCACAAGTAAATGTGACCCTCATTCAACAAAATGATACATAGGGAAAAGGAGTTGAGAAAGTGAACCTTTTTGTGAAACCTGAGAGTGATACTTTAAAATAAGTCTGCATAGTAAATTGTCATGGAAGGAAAACCCAGTGCAAACATTTTCTTGCTTGAGTTTCTATAGCTCCTGACACATCCAGGGCAGGTTGAGGTCCAGGGCCACTGCTGATTGCTGTTATCATCACGGCCCCGAAAAAACTGAAGCTTACCTGGTGCAACTGTGAGCGGGGAGCCTGTTCGGGGTGGGGTGGCTGGTACGTTTTTGGGAGGCAATGGTGGGGGTGCTGCAAAGACACGAGAAACCAAGCATCATTGATCGCTTTCGCCATAAGTTACAAATATTCTGTAGATAAGCAGGATTTGGGCTTTCATTCATATTCCTGTTATTGGAAATGCTACAACCATTAATGGTCTAAATTTTTTTCAGTTCAGAGTTAAGAAACGGAAGCAGGACCCATTCAGATTCTTCCATTTTATGAAAATAAGAATCTGTCAAAAGGATGTCAGATGATAACAATAATAATGTCATCATTTTATTCATTCATCCCTTTATTTGACAAACTTCAAGCACTGGCAAAGTTCCAGATCGTTCTAGGAACTCGGGGCATGGGGTTGAATAAAAGGAGCCTCTGTCCTCAAGGAATTTATGATTGAATGAATGAATATCATGTTAACAGATGATCACAGTCCAGGGTGTGGTGAAGGGAATGAGAATGTCTTGGCGGAGGTTCGGGTGAGGGGTTTTTAATATAGTCAGGATAGTATTGCCTAGATGGAGTCTGGAAAGATGTCTCAAAGTTACACATCTTAACTTTTAGTATATTTTTGAAAGTCTGAAGCAATATGATTGAGGGCAAGAAAAAATATACAGATTCCCTTGGTAAAAATGATGGTGAACCAAACCCCCTGAGATAGAAAAAGTATTGTCTTACGGCCCCAGCCCAGAGATTCAGCCTTCTGAACTGGACTTGTCATTTTGTGGGCAAGGTTAGGGATTACTGTATCAACAGGTACATTTTTTTTTTCTTATTCTCTCTTTAAATGCATGTTTTCCTGTCGCTGGCTAAGTTTGGTAGATTCAAAGAGTTCACACTAGTCTCATAAACCAGACTCAAGTTCATTTGTGAATCTTGAATGTTGTCCAATCTTCCATGACCTAAACGCAGAGTGGGTCAGCTGGGCACTGGCTGGAGAGAGCTTGGCAATACCCTCGGCCTGCCTGCACTAGAAAGAGGCCCTTTCTGTCACTCCACCCCCACCTGACTTCATTTAATTTTAGAAAGCATCCTGTCTTTCTACACAAGAGGCATGACTAAAAGCTATCTTCCTAAAGCCCAGAAATATGTAGCTCCTAATCTTAGTTACGAGCTTCCAAAAACTACACCTCAAATGGATCATGTTTTTCCATAGAAGTTAAGAGTCAATCCGGGGCTCTGTTTCTGACTAAGGTTCTCTACAAAAATTAAGGTCATAATCAACAAAAACACATAAAACACCATAAAAGCCTAATAATCTAAAACAGCAAACTTATGCTGCAATCATGAAATGAGCAAAATTATCCAATACACATAGATTCTACAACAGCCTTTGCTGTGCTAAGTGTAACCACACCACATAAAATCAGAAAACTCGAAAATGCCAATAATTGGTCTTAAAATCAATGCATCCTCTACATAAACATTTCATTTATGTCCTTTCTTGGAATCTAGGAAAGGTTTTCTAGGAAGAATCCGGGTGGCTCAGATTTCTCAAGAAAGCTTTTCAAGGAAGTTAGAGTTTTTCGCTGGCTTTGTTTCTCAGTAGTAGAGAGAATCATCCAAAGTCACCCCACGGGGGTTCATATTCTTTCAAAGCACATCTTGAAAAGTTTAGATGCTTAAAATAGTTATTGGTGATGCTGTTTTTCCTGTCCTGTTTTATGAGAGAAATATCTTTGAAAAGACATTTTCACCTGGATCACATGGTTTTATGGCAATGTCTCCAGCAAACAACCTTGTGGGCCTTTCATCAGGAATCCCCCTGGTTAATTCCAATGATTATTTTTGGGCCTCATAAAGTAAAACCCTGGGATTGCTGAACTGGAAGAGTATTAATTGGTGTGTATGTGAGCTTCACAAAACGAAAATACTCTCTGCATTCCACCACACCCCCAAACTCCTTTCTCTGAGACCCAGTCTTCTTCCCACAGGCATTTTAACAAGTGCTTTCCACAAGCACATACGCTATGGGAAGTCCATTGAAGTGAGAACTCAAGAAATACAAGCAGGTGGCTTGACCAAAGGAGCAATCCATTCAGGCCAAATAGTCCAACCCACTACAGGTGAAGAGCATCTTCAGGAGGAAGTGGGGGGCGTGCTGGAATAGCAGCGCTCGTGGCCCCTGATTTGAGACAAGTTTGCCCTTACCTCCTGTTTCAGCTTCCCACCAAATAGCATCATTTCTCTTGCTCTCCAATTATCCCTCTTTCGTCTCAATGTGTCCTTTCTGTCCCATGCATCCTCCTTGTCCCGTAGGACTCACAGAGACTATCTGATTTGTTCACTTTTGTGTTGTGTGATAGCCCAGTACCTGGAGCATGATTGGTTTCTTTACCTTCCTTGCTTCTCCCTCTTATATACGCATATTGAACGAATGAATGAATGAGTCTATAGGATGTCAGAAGAGGCTATGATTCAAAGTTAATAATTTTACTTTATTATATTATTCTTGCCTTGACAAACTGCCCTAGGCCCCTTTAAGTCTAAAGCCTATTAGAATCACATCTTTTCTTAATATTATACAGTCCAAATGTTGCTTACGTACTTTCTACAAGTTGCCTAATTTCACTATGCAGACAGACAGTAAAATGAGTCACTTATTTTTCCAGACACAGCAGACACATAACTTACTTCCAGTGGGAAAAGGCCTTGTTAACTTTGGCGACTCGATGCTTGGATTAATTGGTTGGCCTGAACCCCATATCTCAGGCTGATCTAAAAGAACTGAAAACATAAAAGAAAATTTCCCAGGGTGAGTTCAAAAAAGAAATGTTCCTGGATCCTAGAGCTTAAAATTTCAATTTAAAGTTGAGCTTCGCAAAATTATCTCCCTCTTGCCTCAGTCCTAGCAAAGTAATTCAGAAGTGTGTTACTCCTCATGCTTTTCAAGCAAAGAATGCAAATGGCAGTGGTGTGTGTGTGTGTGTGTGGTGATGGAAGGGGTGTCAGCCTGTACACCCATAACTAAATAAAAACTTTGGAAATAGAGCATCTGTATTCTCTTCCTGGTTGGTCAGTTAAGGACATTCTTTTTTTTTTTTTTTAAAGATTTTTTATTTTATTTATTTGACAGAGAGAGACACAGCAAG